TCATCTTTCTTGAACTGGGGAGCCCAGAACTGGACAGAGTACTCCAGATGGGGCCTCACTAGGGCAGAGTAGAGGGGAAGGAGAACCTCCCTCGGACCTGCTGGCCACACTGCTTAATACACCCCAGGATCCCATTGGCCTTCTTGGCAGCCAGGGCACACTGCTGGCTCATGGTCAACCTGTCGTCCACCAGGACACCCAGGTCCCTCTCCGCAGAGCTGCTCTTCAGCAGGTCCGCCCCAAGCCTGTACTGGTGCATGGGGTTGTTCCTCCCCAGGTGCAGGACCCTGCATTTGCCTTTGTTGAACCTCATCAGGTTCCTCTCTGCCCAACTTTCCAGCCTGTAAAGTCAACATGTTTATAAACAGGGACCGATAATAGTTCTGTTCTATTTGACACTGAAATTAAGTTTTTTCCATTTGTTTTCCTCTTGTTTCAGGAGTGTGAAAGTTGAGAAATTAGAAGTGGATCCCAGTAAATATTCATTCCCTGATGTGACAAAAATAATCCAAGAGAAGGAACGAATTGGACAGGGACCTATTAGGCTACAAGCGGAGAAGATTACAGAGACTCAGGAGAGTTATGTTGATTTTGAAAATAATGATGTTCCTCCCTTAATTTGAAACATTCTTAAATAGTCCCTCTATTTGTGGTGTTTATGCTTAAGTTGTTTTCATGACCCTATGTGTAAAGTAAGTATTATATAACTGAAGTTGGAAATATTTTTACTGTTCTTGTCATAAACTTTGTTACGCCTGTGTTTTCTGCTGTGTTTTCTGTTAGTATATTGCTATATGAGTTCTTTTTTTCTGAGTTGTTTACTTGCTAAGTCTCAAATCAGATGGGAGTCATAGAAGTCAGACATTGTCATCTCTTCCAAGAATTTACTGTCTAGCTTGAAAGATGACATATTACTGTAGAAAAAAAGAAATAATGAAGCACTTGTAACAAGATTTATGATTATTCTGACTAAACTGAAGATAGCCAAAATCTCTGTGCCTTCCTTCAGTGTTCTCTTTGTCATGAAGGACAATAGTAAAAGAAAACAATATATTAGGGGAGTGAGAGACTTTGCTGTAACCTGCCATACATCAGTGAATTTTCCAGCATAATGCAGAGCTCCTGGATTCTAGAGCATGTAGATCAATGCCACTCCAAGTTTTTGAGAGAGAATAATGCTGAATGCAATACCTCAGATGTGGCACCATGGGGAAGGTGGGAGAAATCAGCCAGGCCATTCTTATTCCTCTTCATGCAGCTGTTCTGAACACTTCCATCTTTTGCAGGATCCCCTAAAAATTATCAAGGCTGTTGGATTAAATAAGGCTGAGCAACTGTAATAGGATGAGCTGCTCCTACCCTCAAGCCCTTTTTTAGCAGCCAGACACTCCAATATTGTATTTTTTTCCCTCAGCTTCTGGATTGCCGCATGAGTGGAACACGCAGCATCAAAGAACAAATGTGTACTGGGTTTCATTAGAAAATTGTTGCAATTTGGCAAGAGCAAATTTATTTTGTTTTCCTTTTTTTTCCTGGTTTCCCGAGAAAACAAGGCTCCCTGGCTGCAGGGAGTGCCTGAGCCTGGCACTCGTACCGGCGGACAGCAGAGACAACTGCTGTGTTCGGTGCGAGCAGGTGAATGACCTGCTCAGCCTGGTGGCAGAGCTGAAGGAGGAAGTGGAGAGGCTGAGGAGCATCCGGGAGTGTGAGAGGGAGATCGACTGGTGGAGCAGCACCCTGCCCTCACTGAGGCAGCGGCAGCAGGAGGCGGCTCCACAGAAAACAGAGAACCCCCTACCCTCTTGCCACTGAGCAGAAAGAGGGGACCTAAGAGATGGGGGGGAATGGAAACGGGTC